CCCCCCCCCAGGGTGAAGCTCTTCAAGGGTAAATCGGTCCATGGGGATGTGGAGCTGCGAGTGGAGCAGGTGAGTTTTGGGGACCCTCCCCCAGTTTTGGACAACCCCTAAAAATTCGGGGTCTCTCAATCCTTTGGGCTCTCCCTCAGATTCTGGAACCTGCCCATAGAGTTTCATGTACCGGTTTGGGGGTTCAGACAGGTTTGAGGGTGCCCCCAGGGAGGTTTTGGGGGCTCTGGGGGACTTGGCATCCCCATGGATATTTGGGTCCCCTCCTAATTTTTGGGATGCTCTAACCCCCCCATTCCTTGACTCATTTTGGGGGTTCAGGGAGGGTTTAGAGGCCCTGAGAGATATTGAGGAGTCTTTTGGGGGATTTTGGGGTGCCCTTAAACCTCCTTTTCTTACCTCAGTTCGAAGGTTTTGGGGGTTCTCTGGGGGTCTTGGGGTCCTGCTGGATTTTGAGGTTCCCCCCTTGAATTTCAGGTGCCCCTAAACCTCCTATTCCTCAATCCAGTTTGGGGGTTCAGGACAGGTTTGGGGGGGGTCTCCCTAGATTTTGAGGTCTCCATGTGAGATTTTGGGGCCCCTCTGAATTTTGAGATGTATCTGAATCTCTTTTCTCGACCCAATTTGAGGCTTCAGGCAGGTTTGGGGTGGGGGGGTGTTTAGGGGTCCCAGGGAGGCTCTGGGGTCCCCCCTGGATTTTGGGGTTCCCCAGGCCCAGTTCTCGGAGCTCTCCTTGGCTGCCTCCACCCACGGAGCCCTGAGTGTCACCATCGACTCCCCCCGGGGGGGCACCAGGTGGGATTTGGGGACCCCCCTCCCCCATTCAGGGGCTGAAATTGGGGTACTGGGGCTATGGGGAGGGGGGGAAGGCAGTCTGGGGAGGCTGGGGAGATCTTGGGGGGCACCAGGTGGGAATCTGGGGCTGTGGGGAGGATTTTGGGGGCCCAGGGGGTTGTTTTTGAGGAGCCACAGGTGGGAGTTTGAGGGACAGGGTCAGAATTGGGGTGCAAGGGGAACTTTAGGGTTTTGGGTGCAGAGTCAGATGTTGGGGTGTGGGAGGGGGTTGTTGACACCGGGGTTAGGGGGAAAAAGTGGATTTTGGGGGTGAATTTGGTTATTTGGGGTGGGGGTGAATTTCTGGGGTCCGGGTGTAGTTTTGGGGATGGGGGGGTCAAATTCGAGGGTGTGGGGTTGGGCCT